ACACACACACACACCCCTCCCTACCTACCTACCTACCTAGAGGTCACTTCTCAAAGCCCAGAGAAAAGGAACCTATGCCCACATAAACACATCCAAATCTTTTGGTTTGTTCCCATCAGTACTTCTGTGACTAGCAACCAACTGTCTTGATATCCTTCCTTCACACCAGTGTGAATATGTTCATAACTAGACTCTCACCTTCCTTCAGCATTCCTATGCTAACAGTCACTAGAACAAACACTTTATTTAGCGGGAGTGGGGTACTACTAATCCAAGCACAGTATGGATAAGTACTGTGCTAGTTTTCCTTTGCGCTCTACTAATGCCCCTCATTCCAGGCATAAAACAAGTCGTCTTGTTTTAGACCTTGTGTGACCAGACATTCAAGTCATCATGTCCACTGGGGCTAAAGATCCAATTGCCAAACTCATTTTCAAATGTGAATAAAGATGTGAACCAAGGTATACAAAAGTGAAATGTTAAATGATGGACTTCTCATTCCTCCTACTCCAGCAACCAGAGGTTCACAACCAACACCAGTAAAGTTTCAAGCCAAATCTGTTATAATGCAAAGATTGGATTTCTGGTTGTCCTATGGATATCTGAGGAAGCTACCAGCTCATTGTTCTGGGGTATCAGGCAATGGGATTTTTTTCAGCCTCATTATGCTGACATTTTATCTGCCCCTATAATAATGCAAAAAATAACATAGCCGTCTTTGCAGTGCAGCTTCATTAAAAAAATGTTAAGACTACGAAAACGAGTGTAAAAAAGAGGCCAAAATTGCTGGATTCATGTTGCAATATCTTTTCATGACTCCAGATGGTAGCAGAGCTAGAGAGAATAAAGTGACCTCCTCATTCTAAGATCAATCACGTCACAGTCTTCATTTGTCCAATCTCCTTCAGGCAAAAGGAGTAGGAAGCACAAATTGCCCCTGCAAATCAAGAATCTCATGCAGAAGTGGGACAAACCACACTCAAATATCTCCAACTATAAAGATTTTCTACTGAATACTATATTGAAGTTCAACACCTTAAAAGGTGGGAAAAACTTAGAAAAACAGAGACTGTCTTTTGCTCTTTCAATTTTCAAACTGTTCCCTTACATCTACATATTATGAAACATTTCATTTATAGAACATGAAATGACAGTTGCAAAGGATCAGAACAGAGTTAATTTTGTTATATATATTCACAAACAAAAAAATCTAACTTCTTATTTAGACCTCTAGATGCTAGGGCGTCAATACAATACAAACAACCAGAAGGCTTTGCTCTGCTTCAATGTTCTATTTATGTCACCTCTGTTCTCAAATCATCTAGTCTCTCAAATGCCCAAAAGTGAAAATATCAAGTTGTTTTACCCTCAAAATGCATTGCTAAAGGGTAATCCATGTCTCTTCTGAATTTTCTAATTCTCGGTAGGAGTTTCCTAATGCTTTTCTCACACAAGAACAAAGAATTGCTGGACAGGAAAAGACCACATGGACCAACACGTCTGTCCCCTTGAGGGTTATTTTTTCTTAACTGCTTTTTGTGCTTATAGTTCAATAGTATGTTTCCCACTCTGAAAAATCTGTCTCAAACTCATTTTCATGCTATTTGCTTTGATGACCTTATTTAGCAAATGATTCCATATGTTGCCCATTTCACTTGAAGTATTTCTTTCTGAAGACCCAGTTTATCTTAATTTCCTAACTTTTAGATTGGATTGCATGGGTGGCTTTGTTTTATTTTAAATGCCGACCAATATAAATACATTATTTTTCCTAAGGAAAGTGAAGAAACTGAAAAGGGCACTCAAAATGAAGTGTAACCACTTCACTGCCAATGCTCTGCACAGTCAGAAATATCACTGTTTGCCTTTCTTATTGCCCTTATATATTAGTTTCATAGTCTCAAGGATTTTCATACACAAAATCTTAAATGAATTCCTACTCAGTATATATGGCATGACTGTTAACATCTAATGTGTACCCTTCTGGTTTGGTTATTGACTCCAAATTTGTTATTTTATATTTGTTCATAAATATCTTTAGACTGCTAATTATATTCATATATTTATGCTTCATGTAGAAGTCCAAATGTATATTTTTCATGTCTAAAGTAATATTGAATCTCCTTGAGTTTTCAGTATAGATTATATACATAGAGAGGCTATCCATTGTTGTGATGGGGTTTAATGTCTGGTTTTCATAATTCTTATTAACCTGTTAACAAATGGTTAATTACTCATGCAAATTATAAAATAGACAAAGACTAGTTCCTGTGCCTTTATGCTATCAAATAAGTAACTGAGTTTCAATTAAGGTCTTTCCCCATGTTCCTTCCTTCCTCTATGTAGTTTTTTGTTGTTACTGAGCAAATTAAATCTCCTAAAAAGTCACCTGAAACATTTTAAGGATAACGAGTTGAACCTCAGTTATATTTTAATTTTAGCCACCTATAATATAGCCATCGCCATTAAGAGCATTTACTAACAGTTGCTCTATAGATGGTGATGGAGCCGGTACTGCAATTCCACCGTATATCTTAGAGCAAATTTTTGCTACCGCTTCAGCAAATCCAACACTAGTTTTCCCAATTACTCCTCACAGTGCATTAGTGAAATTGTACCAAAAGTACCAACATTTCCCAAATAACGGATATACGGTAATCTCCCAGTGCCATGCAACCGTTTTCCTGGATGATTCCTATTAAGATTTTTTTTCAACCTCAAAGGCTTTTTCTGAGAAGGGCCTTTTAAATCACTGTGAGATAAATATTACCCTCTATCATACTGTGCCTGTAGAACCTCATTTACTTCAATGGTGTTGCATGGATGAGAAATTTGCCTCTTTGTTTGTGTATCTGGAGGAAAAATTGGACAGATTTTAGAAAGAAGATGTACAATGAAAGAAAGGCCAGCTACAGGGGTGCCACTGGCGTCTTTACAATTTAATCTTTTAACTAATTAATGTTACTACTGTATTCATGATAGCCTCATAGTAATGTTAATTATTTGCATCCGTTAATTGAAAAGATTTTAATGTGGAGCACTGTTGCCTATTTATTAATATTTGTTTGAACTTTCCAGATCCATCAAGTTGGCCAATTAATTATTGCTCAAAGATGTTTTAGAAGATAGACTGGTAGTCCCCTAAATTGGTTCTTTATGGAAGATGATTAAAATACACGGATTTCTAATGATACTACCCCTCCCATGCCCTATTTAAACTGTTTTTGAAATAAACTATTTGTATTAATCAATATTGACATTTGTACTGGGTTAATCCTTTGTAAATTTGTGCTCAACAATTTGAAGAAAAATGGTTTTAAAGACTAACAGTGAAAACTTAAGTTCTTTTGATACAGACCCAAACCAAAACGAACACGGATACTACTGACATCAGCGATAAACACTGCACCCAAATCCAACACAGCTGATCTGTGCTAGAACCTTGAAACAGCCGTCTCCCATTTCCCATTAGATGGTTACTCCATCTAAACATCTGGGTCTCCATGACAGCAAGTAGGTCTGAAAGCCCTGGAGCTCTGGACTGGGATGGCAAAGATTTAACCAGTAGAGACCTGCTGTTTCCCGGCCCTGCTATTTAAACCTTTCCTTTCTGGACAGGCACTCCAAGGGTTTCTGAACTAGTCATCCCTCCTGTCCTTCAGATCCAGATTCTCTTCTAGAAAAGAAATGGTAAAATCCAGAGCAGAAAAGCCCTGCGTCTCTCCTCAGAGCCTGTCTTGCACAGAAGTACATGCTAAAGTAAACTCCATCAAATAACTTCATCTCAACAGAAGACAAAAGATGCAGTGGCTTCAGGTACATCTAGAAAGATGCTTAGAATCAAATCTGTTTTAGGTCTAAAGTGAGATGAGTTTAGTGATGCTAAACCTAGTTCCCTCATGGGGAAACTATCATCCCCATCATTAAACCAATATACAACTTGGCCTAACCAACAGGATCTCTTCAGAAGAGGCAATCTGAAGGGTTTGTTCTTATTGTATTATATTCCCATAGGCTTTACTGTGCGTTTCATTACAGTAGTATCTGGGCCCCTCACTAATATTACAGAGCTAATCCCCAAAACACTGCTATGAGGTAGACAAGGATTATTGTCCTCATTTTACAGATGGGGAAACTGAGGCACAGAGAGCTTAAGGGAATTGTCCAAGATCATACAGGGAGTCTGTGGCCAAGACAGGCCTGGAACTCAGAGCCCCGGTTCAATGGGCCTTTTTCACAAGACCATCTTTCCCAAAGGTCAGGATTGACGTGTGTTCTTACAGCTATTTAGGGAGAGGTAACTGAGGAGACACTAGTCTGTGCTACAAGTGGTTTTGACCATTGCTACCACTAATCTCATTTTCATGACACGAAAATCAATACCTGAAACACCTGAAATGCTGTATATACTCGTTCATAAGCCGAATATTTTTGGTAAAAAAATGACGCATCAAAGAGCAGGGGTTGGCTTATAAACGGGTCTACACCAAAATTTGATGATTTGAAACTCTATGGAATCATTGAATTGAATATTTAATACATTGTCGTTTTGTTCACCTGGAGCATCAGCAGGCATGGATTCGCCGTTCCCAGCCAATGGAAGCTGCAGGAAGTGGTAAACCGCGGCCACAGGGAGCTGAGGGGCTCAGTGCCTGTGAACGCTCCAGGTAAACAAAACGTCCAGGCCCACTAGCGACTTACCTTAACGGGCCAGGAGCCAAAGTTTGCCAACCCCTGAAAAATAGGGTTGGCTTATGAAAGGGTCATACAATTTTTGCTATTTTTACCTATCCATCTTGGGGGGGGTCGGCTTATAAGCAAACAGGCTAATGAACAAGTATATACGGGTAGTTAACCAATACGGCTATCCTAACACCTCTGGAGATATCTAATGCATCCATCATCGTCACAACCAGTAAAATAAAAAATACAGAGAAATATTCAAAAGACACTCCCAACACTCTTTTAAATCACAATCAATTCCCAATGTAAAGGCTCACCTCCAGTAAACCAGCACGGCAAGAAGGAGGATGAGGCACAAAAAGGTCAGGGCCGACACCACAATCAGAGGGATGATCCATTCCATTTTGCCAGGAGAAGGTCTGGTTGCCATACTTGAGCTATTCTTGTCTGCTGTACGGTAAGCATATAATGAACATAATCAGTACCAGTAAAAAGAATGATGCTACAATGGCTACATTTATACACAGAATTAGAACTGCCATGACTCCAGTTTCACTCCAGTTCACATGATGTGAGCAAATAATCAAATAATTCAAAAAAGTGTGTCACTCAATCTTTCACTTTCATATAAGCATTACAGCATGAAAGTATGGTGCATATACAGTGCATCAACTAGATTCTACTACTGTACCTAGTTCCAATCTTAACTTACTCACAATTTTAGGGCCAGGTCCTGCAAACAGGATTCAAGTGTTACTCTTACCATCAGAAGTCATTCCCCCAGGTCAATGAATTAAGAGCTCCGCATGGTAAGTAAAGTTTGCAGGTTCATGCCCCTCATTTGTAAGTGCTTTGGGGCAGGGAATGTGTTTTACTCTTTTACAAAGCTCTGTGTAAAATGTACTTCAATGTATGCACTATTGTAATAACTGCACTTAGAAAAAAACCTCAACCTGTTATCGATCCAGTAGCACGTCATAATGTTCGGTGAATTGTTAAGGTCTGTTGAGTTAGGACATATGAAGGTACTTTTAGAA